AGAAGCCTTATGGAGGGCAGTGTGACTTCAAAAGTCATAGCTTTGATACCTCTTTGGGGACACTTCTCCATGCAGTGCTGATGGTATTCGTTCCTTTATTTGAAAGGCAGATGTGGGGAGCAACTTGGACTAGACTGTTACTGGAATTAAGACTTATTCTATGCATCTGCTCTCCCACAATATGGCGCTGGGAGAGGAGGAAACAGCTTCTACACAGCTGCCTACAGTTCAACCAATAAACAGCAGGACCTGCTCCTGATTGCAGGATAGCAGCGTACTCGGCGTGTGGGTAGCAGAGTTGGGATTGGTGGAAGAGGACTATAAAGGAGCAGAGAGACAACATGCACCAGGAACATCTATCTGAAGGAACACCTGTGCAGCCCCCGAGAGAGCCGGCCGGCGGTGTGCCACTCCCCCGCGGAAGTGGGGAAAGTGGCAGGGGAACCGCCCTTCCACGGAGGTGGAGGGACGGCAGCCAACCCGGGAAGAACCAGCAGCAAACCCGGGAAGGGCCGAGCAGACAAAAGAACAGCGCAGGGTCCTGTGTCGTTCCTCCACGAAGAGGGGGAGCGACAGGCAGAGAGACAGAGACAGAGAGAGAGAGAGAAAGAGAAAGAAAAAGAAAAAAAGAGAGAGAGGGAGAGGAATCTTCTAGCCATTGGTTCACTTCCCAATGGCCACAACAGCCAGGACTGTGCCAGGCAGAGGGTTGGAGACCGGTAGACAGATCTTTCGTTGCCAGTTCACAGCCCACAACAGCAGGGGCTGGGCCAGGCAGAAGCCAGGAGAAACTGCATCCCAGACACCTGTGTGGGCGGCAGGGACCAATTACTAGCGCCATCATCCATCCTCCTCCTAGCAAGGGTGGGGAACCTTTTTCCTGCCAGGGGCCATTTGGATATTTACAGCATCATTCACGGGCCATGCAAAATCATCAACTCAGACATTAGCCTGCTACGGATTTATTGGATTTGGAGTTCCAGCTGCAGGGGTCTCGGCAGGGCCAGACCACATGATTCCCCAGGCCTCACACGACCTGTGAGCAGGACAGTCCCCCAGCCCGCCTTGGGCTGCGCATCAGCGGGGAGCTGGAACCGGAAGCCCAGGGACCCAGAGCCAGACACTGCAGCCTGGGTGCAGGTGTCCCAGGAGGCACATTCAACGCCACACCAAGCACCAGTGCCCCCGGCAGGTTTGCTGGGGACTCCTGTGGTCCATGTGCCACTGCGGACGGCTGGGATTGGTTTCCTGTTGTGTCTATGCTGCTGCATTCAGACCTGGGTTCGGGAGCAGTCACTTGGGCGCTGCAGACCCCGGACAGCTGACGAGTCCCGCTCTCTCCCCCGCTGCCCTCTCCTGCCCCTTGCTGGCTTGCTCTTGGAAGAGATAGACGAGGGAAGTTGTGCCTACAGACACGCACACGCAGGGCCAACACCTGTGCAGGGAGCCTCAACATGGGAAGGGGGAGGGAGACTTGATGGGAGACGCGCTCAGCCTGCAAACTTGGAGTTTGCGATCTGGCTTCTTTCCCGTGGACCGGCTTCTCCGCCGTGCACGCCGCAGCGAGACCCCGGATAATGACTAATGGGCTCAGCAGGTGAAGTTGCCTTTCCTCATTACCTGCTCCTGCCGACGCCGAGGGTTCTGTTGGCTTCAAGTGAAAGATTCCGTCCTGATAAAATCCCACTGGTAGGAGAGAAAGCCTGTGTTCTCACGGCGTGCTGGAATTTCGCAGCACGAGCCAGATTCATGCACCTGTGAAGGTCACGGATGGGGTTTGCAGAAATGGGGCTGGTTTTTTTTTCCTTTTTTTTTTTTTAACCTCCTGATATATGAGAATCCTTCAAAAATGTGTGGAAAAATTGTGCCCACAACTGGCTCTCCTGGGAGCACACCCTCTTCTTTGGCGTGGGAGTGGCCTCAGGCACACAGCAGGGAGGGACTCAGGAGGTCACCCTTGGGTGCTGCTGTTGTCTGCTTTGGCACTGACAAGGACATCATGAAGCCCTGGTTCCTTTCCAGCCATCAAGCCAGGGGTGTCCCCTGCAGTTTGGAAAGATGACCTTGGGTTGTCTCCGGGGAAGGTCTCCAGGAAGCACAGGGACAGTATTGTCAGTCAAGTTCGGGAGAGATGCGGCGCCTTGCTATTCATTAATCGTTAAAAGGGGCACAAGCGTGGGTGGTCACTTTGTGCACTGGTTAAGACGTCACCTGGGATGCTCAGGTGCCATAGCTGAGGGCCTGGATCCAGTCTCCGCCCTGCTCCTGCCTCCGGCTCCCTGCTCATACACACCCTGGGAGGCAGCAGGTGAGGGCACAAGTACCTGGGTCCCTGCCAGCCACGCGGGGGACCTGGATGGCGCTCCTGGTTCCTGGCTTTGGACTGGTCTGGCTGCAGCTGCTGCGGGCATTTGGAGAGTGAGGAGTTGCTGGCAGAGTTCTCTCTTTCTCTCCGCCTTTCACTTGCAATATCTAAATACACAAACATGTAAGGCAGCAGAAGCATGCAGAGGGAAGATAGAGCACCCAGGAAGCCACCCATTGGCTCCCCCACTGCGTGCCGGGTGCCAGGGCCACTTCAGCTGCTTATGGGGCCGTGGGCCATGGGGAAGACCCGACCTTCGTCTCCACGGACCCTGTGCTGCCGCTGCAGAGAAGTGTGTGTGGAGAGCGGGCTTTCTCATCTTGCACGCGGAGGGGAGACTCCCAGATGGACGTGCTCCTGGGACAGCCTGCAGAAGTTGGCTCTCGGGGCCTCGTGGGCACCTGAGTGCCCTGGTCAGGCGTCTTCCTAGTGGGATGCCTGGGTGCATGGGTGGGAAGTTTCGGCGGGTAGGCGCCTGTGTCACACACCTGGCACTCGGATAGCGCTCATCCTCTGAGAGCAGAGCTTGTGCTTGGGGTGCGGTCCTCTCAGTCGGGGGCGTTGCAGCTTGTGGTGCTCACAGAAAGCCCCCAGAGCCCCCAGGACAGCCCCTGGTCCCCGCTGGGGGTTTCCAGACGTCCCACCTTCCACGTCTCCACAGGGATCACACGGGGGTCTGTGTCCTGCTTCCCTCGGTATCCAAGCAAGTCTGGCGTGAGAGATTTTATCCCGCCACCAAGTTTAGCATTTTTGTGAGACTGAAATGCTGCATTTTTCCATCACAGGAAGTTACTGAGGATGCAGTAAAAATGTGATTTGCTTATGGCAAAATCCGCAAGCCTGCGCTCAGTGGAAAGAACCTGATTTCGCACAGCGACAAGGCTGCTGGGGAGTCCCAGCCGCCCGCTCCTCCCCATGTGGGTAATTTCTGAGCGACGCGTGTGCGCCGCTCTCCTCTGGGGCTATAATTAGGCCGACAGGGGTGACTATGTTAGCAGGAACGTAAAGCGGCAGGCGGATAAGCACCCCGGGATCACACAATCTAGAAATGGAGTCAGCTCCGAGGGCGGCAGCTTCCGTCCCCAGCCTTGTCACCGGGAAGAAGGAGGCACCTGTGGGTAGCTTTCTATCAACCGACACCTACGGTTCTCTCCACGTGAAGCTCAGCCCAGCACTTGGGCTGGTGGGCTGCCGTGTCTCCTGCCGAGCAGTCCATCTGCCATCCCAATGGGCATGGCAGCAGGCAGGTTAAAGTATTCATCACGCAGCTGCCACCACTTATCAGGAGAAATCAGAAGTCGTCTTCATGCAAACGCCTGCTAATTAATTTTGGTCTTGCCGATTCTAAGAAATCGGAGAGCCGAAGGAAGAACGAGAATGATCCGAGACGGATGCAATGGTGGCCCTTGATGTGATGGCCGACCTGGGAAATAGGAGCAACTGTGAAATTGCTTCTCTAGCAGCAGTCCGGGGGTGTAGATGGTGGCTGGTGTGGGCACAGCAACTTGATCCTAATTTTTTTTACTTGGGGAGAGCTGTCGTCAGCTGGGCCCCCGTTATCACAGGAGCCCTGGCCGTGTGGCTGATCCTCCACTGTTTTTCCAGCTCCGGCCTTTTCTTGCTGGCTGTCCGGTAGGAAGGTGGTCCTCCACGCCCGTTCCCTGCTTCAGAGGCAGAGCTGTGGGTGCAGCTGTGCCCCAGTGTCTCGGGTCAGAGGGTCAGCGTGATGTCTGGGGCAGTGTTCTGATGAGCGGACTTTAGTCGCGGCACGGGAATGAGAAGCAAGTCTTTCTGAAGTGCCTGCACAGCTTTTCCATTACACGCATTGTCGAGAACTGTGAGGACCCCTCGTGTGTGTGCTGTAGGTGTGGGGGCACCTGGGGACGTGAGTATCACCACCTTCCCCGGGCAGGTGCATCGCTGGATTGCGGTTTCTGAAATGTTCCAACTCCTGCTGGGCATTTTATCCTTAATGAGGAATAGACTAAAATTCCTATGGCTCAGTCTATCCAGGATTTGTGTGGTATACTTCATGCATTTATTAAAGTTTCATTTTCCTATGTAAGACGGAAACACACACACACACAGTGGGAGGTCCCATCTCACCTCACTCCCCAGATGTCTGCCATGGCTCCGGCTGGGGCCAACGCTCAGAGCCAGGAACTCCATCCAGGTCTCCCAGGTGGGTGGTAGGAGCCCAAGCACTTGCTGCCTCCCAGGGTGCCGGTTAACAGGAAGCTGGAATTGGGGAGTGGAGCTGGGACTAACGCTGATATGGGTTGTGGGGGTCCCAACTCCTCTTTTTTTTTTTTTTTTTAAGAATTTATTTATTTAAAAAGCAGAGTGACAGAGGGAGGGGGAGAGGCAGAATCTGCCAGTTCACTTCCCAGATGACCATCAGGGCCAGGGCTGGAGCCAGGAACTCCATCCATGTCTCCCACAGAGCGGGCAGGGGCCCAAGCACTTGAGTCACCATCTGCTGCTCCCCCAGGCACGGTAGCGGGAGGGTGACTGCAGGTGGAGCAGCTGGGACTCTAACCTGAACTCCAGGATGGGATGCGGCAGCGACGCTGTACGTGCCAGCTGACTCTGCTGAGCCACAGCCATGTCCCCACACCCAGTGTCTTACCTCCAGGGTCAAACATCCACCCTCGAGCCCTCGGATTTGGGAGCCAGCTCATGTCCTGGCTGCTCCACTTCTGGTCCATCTTCTTGCTGATGGCCTGGAAAAGCCCTGGAAGATGGCCCAAGTGGTTGGGCCCCTGCAGCCATGTGGAAGACCTGGCTCCTGGCTTCAGCCTGGCCCAGCCCTCGCCTTTGCAGCCATCTGGAGAATGAACCAGTGGATGGAAGATTCGTCTCTATTCATCTCTCTGCCCCTCCCTCTCTGTAACTGTGACTTTCAAATAAATAAATAAATAAAATCCTGAAAAAAAAAGAAAAGTCATATTTAAATTACTTTTGAGTAGAACAGGGGGCACCTTTGTGGCCAGAAGTGAGAGGCATTGGCCCACCTGAACTCTGGCTGCCTTTCCCTCTCCATGTCCCCGTTAGCCTCCATTTCCAGCCAGCAATGGGAACAAGAAGGCTGAGCCCTGGGCGGGGGGGTGTCAATGCTTAGCCCCTCCTACTGCTCTCTCAAGTTCAGCCCAGTGCAGCCAGGAGACCAGGGAGATCCAGGGCCAGCTTCGTTCCTGGCAGAAGGCACCTGGCTTGGGATGTGGAGGGGAAGGCTGGCTCCTGGGTCCCACTGGGCTAGGTGGGCGTGGCCTCAGTCACAGGAGCTCCAGGCTTCTCCAGGCTGCCCTGGCGGACAAGCTGAGCCACAGGGCAGAGAGAGCCAGCGTGGGCTCTTCACACGTGGACACGGCCAGCCACGTCCAAGTCACTCATCACACGCCCTGCATGAGGCTGGGGCCAGGAGAAGCAGCCAGGAGGGCCGTGTCCACCTGGGTGCATGGAAACACAGACAGTGGGTGTGAACGTCCCCTTGTCACCATCTGTGGGATTGGCTCATCCTTGGACCACGCCTGTCTGTGGGACAAGTTG